ACTGGCCCCGTGCTGTGGGTTTTTTCTGAATTTTTCACTGATGGATCAGTCAGGCACCACCCCCCACTCCCAACCCCGTCAATGTTCAAATATGAACTGTGCACAGATTTTATACCGAAAATAATAACAGCAGTTTAACACGTCGGCTGTCGCGACCAGTATTATCCACGATCGAGGTTTTTGGGTGAGTTCGCGTCAATATAATACCTGGACAATGCACGGCTCTTGCAGGTGGGAATGTTCTCTTCATAATTCCCTGGCATGCCAAACTCATCCGCATAACGCGACGGTGCCACTTGCAGATATTCAAGCACTTTATTGAAGACGGCAACACGGCACACTGAGCATGTGTTTGCACCGTATGCTCTTGTGCATGTTGTCGCAGGGTCGACGATTGGATTATTATTTTACAGAGCGTCCAATATCACATAACCATGGCTCCCCTTGCCACACGCGCTGTACTCGTAGTTCAGGTCTCGATAAGCCAACATTGCACAACTAGGCGTTAACTTCTCAACGTGAGATTATTATATATAGCGATGACAAATAGGACGTCATGAAACGTATAGACTGTTTCAAAATAGCCAAGTCCCAGCGTCTCATCTGTCCTATAAACAACGGGTGTGCAATGATTTACATTGGTAGTTCTGAGTCAGTGGGAGAAATTCCACATTCTTGTGGAGGGGATCAGTCCACTTAAAATGGGTTCCATCGAATATTCAATCAGCTATATCTTATATAAAATAAAACATATGAGCCTAATGGCTATGTTCATGAAACCAAAACAACAGGTTCCAATAAGTTTGGAAGTGTATTTAAACTATACTCTTTGGTTCTTTAGGGAAAGTCGCGTAGGTATAAAATAATGTATTTAAACTACACATTTATGCATGCTCTTGCGAACGTGAACGTGCTTACATCTTGCAAATGTTCAAATAATGACCACATAATTAAATTAAAATAAAGTTGTCTTTCTAACTATCGACAGCCCACTAATAGTCGTTACCTCTTCTTAACGGTAGCTGTGGAATGAGAAATGCAGTTATTACCTTGCATTTTATTAATCTAAGTGTTTATTTGTAGGTGATTTTCATAGTTGAGATATGGATGGAGCTGAACACGGCCGGACACAAGTTAACAACTCTTTCGAAATTACATGAACATCAGTTTCACATCAGACGGTAACACCTGCAGCGAAAGCAACAGTGTCCCCCTGGATGTGTTTTGCTTTCCAACCCAGAGCAAGCTTTTGGCGACCAAGCTAAGTGTCACCGCGTGCGGCTTTATCGCAAGGCAGGAGAGACATTAACAAAAAGCCGAGCCACACACACGCACACAGGACGCACGGACAACTTTACAGTGCAGCACACATATGGACGGGGTGTCAGAAGATAATTTAGGTGCGCTCAAACACAAGACAATCAAGAGGCACGCAAGAGCTGCGATTCCGTTATTCGCGCACACACGCCACTGGAGCTTTAGCTGCAGCTGTTATCGGCTTCGGGCGGCTATAAATATTCCCGGACAGACACCGTTAGACAGAGTGCGGTGGTCTCGGTATATATATAACACACTGTGTCGCGGGCACAGACAGGAGCCATTCTACTCCAGTTTGCATTTGCCAGTAAAAATAGACAGAGCTCTTCTTCGGTCCGTTTTTTTTTGTTTGTCTCCTTCTCTCTCTCTCTGCGTGTTTCTGGTGCCACTCCCCTCTTGCCAGAGCGGAGCGAGGTTACCGAGACTCGGGATACTCGGCCGCTCTCTCTTTGCTCTGGTGATTGCATTGCACGTTAGCTTCCCCCCCCCCCCTACACGGATCGTAAGCCAGCCACCGGAGCGCTTTTGGCAGAACCAATTCCCTGCACGACCGAAGAGCCCCCACTATTTCTCGCTTGGGCCTCGTTCCAGCTGTTGCGAAATTTGTGGTCGGCTCAGACACGTGCTCCCCGTATGTGCACATCCTGAATTAAATGGGTGTTACATCAATTGCAATTGCGACCGACAGGATACGTGGGGTTCGCCTGATTATATAACGCGGGGGGGGGGGGGAGGTTAATTAAATAGGGTTAGAACAGCTTTGGTGAATGGGCGGAATTAATTAAAAAAAAACGTGGAAATGGCCAGCTAGGTAAGGAAGGAATGCCACAGGACTAAGGATCCCAATCAAAAGGGGTTGGCATTAGAAAATAGGCTTTACCAATGATTGTTTTTCCTATTATGCGACCAATAGAAAAATATGTTCAAATCTAAATAAAATAGGCTGCCACTGGAAGGCCCTTTCAATAATGTGGTATATTCCCACAATCGCATAAAGTCAAGGCAAATTCAAATTGTGTTTCAGCTAACAGGCAATGGCGAGAGTGATCATCTCTGGCGGTGGTCCGGAGTCAGCGGTTGAAATTCCATATTGCATTAACAAGGTTCAGTCGATTAAAGTGGCAATAAATGTTTATTATTCTAGAAAGCAGCACTCGTGCTACTGACCCTGACGAAGAAGATGGGCCGACTGAACCCTGTGCTGAGAGTTCTGACTCGCAGCCCTTCTGATTGAGTGAAGCTACCCAGGAATATCTCCAGGCAGTCATAGAACAGTGTTTGAAACTATCAGAAGATTCAATATAATATCTCCAGCCAACAATAATTCCCAACAGCTGAAAAAGTGCACTTACAAAGATAAAATACCAAAGAGTACATAATGAGATTAACGGCGTTTCAGACACACAATGTCATGGAAAAATGTCCTTGGGACCCCGAGAGACAAGTGGAACAAAGACAAAGATCCCCCGCAGAGCCTTAACAGACTGTTGGGTCAAGTGCTGTTAACGAGTAGCACCTATGAAGGCTGGCACGGTACACGAGCGGGTGGATGGCAAGTACCACGCCCGGCCGCCTTTGTCTCCCCAGCGGCGATATTTACTCACCACACCAGGTACTTATATGAGACTGAGTCGACCGAGAGGAGGTCTTAAACTGGTTCAAATAATCGTCACTGGTGTTCGCCGTGAGCGGAAATCGAACTTGGATAAATTCACAGCCGTCTCATTCAGCCAAACGTCTCAAAGAAGCGCAAATAACCAGTGTAAGTGCGTTGTTTTGCACGCAACATCGCCACTAGGGAGACAAAGGCGGCCGGGTATGGTGCTGGAAACGCACCCTCTCGTGTGCCTTGTCGGCCTTCATAAGTGCTCACTAACAGCACTTGCCCCGACAGAATGGTAAAGGTAACATGGGGGATATTTATCTAGTTTTACACATATTATTCACCTAAGATGTCTATCTTGATCCATTTGATGTAAGTAATCAGTATTATAATTGAGAAATTTTAAATTTTCAAAGTGTTATTCCAAGGTGTTAATGGCAAAGCATTTGACCAGCAAAATGAAAAGGTACTTTTTTTTCAGACGCGTTCACTAACTCGGCCTTGCTGTCAGCATTGCGTCCTGCCTCTGTGTAGCGAGGCATTCTTGCAACCTCAAAAAAACTATTCACGTGCATGACGAAACTTAAAAATACTTGCAAGCTTTGCTTGAACCTTGAACTTTGGTGACACCCACAGTGTGTATAACTCTACGTGGTGACGCCAGATGCAAGCTTACAGCTATAATATAAGAGGTAATTTTCCATCATTTTGCAAGCATCATTGCGTAGATTTGAAAACAAAACAATCGAAATCTACTCATGTCTTGCCCGTTCGTAATGCTATAGCAACCGGTCTTATGGTTAAGACAGGTTGATTAGCCAAGACAAGGAAACCATGAACTTGTATAAGTTGTAAAGGAAATGTAATACGGTAATACCCCGATTCACGTCTCCTCCCTTGCATGTTGTCACTTGATTTATTAACACCACTACCTGATTGTGCGTCGCCTCAACCCACTCTCACGTCGCTGACGGCATCGTCCGTCCTTTCTCATTGTGCGTCGCCCCTCAGCCTTCGCCTCGACAACCTACCCTGCAAATCGCTTCCATTTACGTCGTTGGGACGCATGCAGGAACGCATCCTCAATGTAAACCGGGGTATTGCTAGGGTAGAGTTCAATAAAACAATCTGCTGATGCCGAAATGGGGTTGAGTCTACGCTCAGATGATTGACCAATTTAGCCGACGAGTTGCGCTCCGCTCAACGCTTTGGGAGCTTCCCCACGGACGGCTTCAGCGTAAACCCCACGTGCTGGGAGCAAAAATGTCAAGAACAATCATGCCGGCCAACAGGCGGTAGGTCCCAAAACACGCGCCGAGAGCAATACTACGCGGGACGACGGGCGAAAAACATACGCAGTGGAATTCGGCTCGTTCAAAGTAACAAAAATGATTCAAAGCTTCTCCGGTGCTCGCACGCGCGGGTTTTCTCTAGATGCTCCGGTTCCCTCCCACATGTAAGCACCCGCTAATTGGCGGATAACACCTTAACACATATAGGACAGCAGAGCTTGGGCAATTGCAAGAGCGAGAAAGTATGCTGTGGGGCATGTTACGAGTTCAAATTATTATTATGAGAATAAAATAAGCGAGTGAGCAACGCTGATTCAGAGGCGGAACATACACATTTCCATTGCGGGGGACAATTCTCCATCAGGACTACTGATGATGTCCCACAAAGTAGTACTCGAATTAAAATGATGGGCTGTAGTCAATCACTATCCAGGATGTGTTACCTCTCAAGATTTCAACCGCGAGTCAAACACTCCATAACCACAGCACCGGTCAACAGAACTTTAATCCAATTCGCTTATGGCAATAATTTTATTGCATCCAAACGTTACGATTAGCCTGACGAAATAATGTACCCATTGCAGTGAGACATTTTAAAGTATTGTGCGAAAGCCGGCCCCGTCCTCTTGAAAACACGACAGAAGGTAACTCAATTGACGAGAAAAGCATTCAATCGACATCCGACATTACGCCCGGGCAAACTAGACCTTGTGCAGAGAGAGAGAGAGAGACAGAGACAGAGGAAAGACAGATGGAGGAGGCCGTTGCTATCTGACGAGCTCACTAACCAGCAATTCATCCTGCCATGGGCTGACAGAAGCCCGGGCAAAGTGGAACTCACAGGCAGCAGCTCACCAGCAGCTGATCTGCAGGACAGAGGGGAGGGGAGGGCAGAGAGGGAATGGTGAGAAGGGTGGGGGGGGTGGGTGTAAGGGGGGGGGGGGGATCGCTGCGGTGGACACAGAAAAATGCCCCCACCCACGCACCACCCCCCGCCCCCCCCAACCACGTCAGCGATGTACGCGCACGTACGTTGAACTTCTTCCACACCGTAAGTAGCCAACCGCGCAAATCGGAGGTGCCGGGCAGTGGACACCAGCGCGACCGTCGCGTCTTTCCTCGCGAGCGCGAGGAAAGACGCGTGGCTTGCCTCGCGCGTGTTTGGCGAGGCTGGTGGCGTGTGCCCGTGGTGGTGGTGGTGGTGGTGGGGGGGGGGGTGTCATCATGCTCTCGGGGTACGTCACCTCCTGCAGGATTATTCGCCCGTGTACATTTGGTTATTGTGGTTTGTCGCGTGAATACTTGCAACAGTGTGATCTCGCGCGCCCAGACTCACTTCGTGCACGTGATATGAACGTGTTCGATAGACGCGTTCAGGGTTACTTGGCTGGCGATAAATTGCCGCGCGAGAAGCCACTTCATTGAGACATCATTCGAGGGCCAGGTCACTTCCGATAAAGAGCCACATAGCTCAGTGGGACTTACCTGGCTAAATAAAAAAAAATAGTTTCGTTTGGTTTACATGTTGGTAGTACTGTACAGATGCTATACAAAATAGAACAAATGCACGCTTAGCCTGATAGACGATAGGTGAAGTTGTTGTTAGCGAGCGCCTATTAAAGTGATCACATCATCATTTAGCAACACTTGCAGTGAGCACACAGACGGCGTGATTGTAGAGGGGGTTGAAGCCGAGCATGTGTACGCTTTTTCAAAGCTTCACTTTTTTTTTAACAAACTCCTTCTCTGGAGGATGACCATTCAAGTGCTATTTCTGAGGTGGGGGGGGGGGGTACAAAATGTAAAACTTTGAATGCTTTAAACGTTGTTTCGTAACACAGATCAACGACAATGGCATGAATAACGTTGAACAAGGTCAGCACTGCAAACAAGAAGAGCAGCCTCAACACCCAGACAGCTGCCTCCATGTCTCCCCACGCTGCCGATTTGATTTTCACACACCGAAGCAGGTATTCGTTTAAGGCCGAGTCGGCCTAAGGTATCCCCTACACACATGCATGCATACACGTACTCACAACACGCAAGTAGTCCCCGCACCTCCAATTTCAACCGCGCACGTACGTCTCCCGTGAAAATGCAATGGCCACGGCACGAGGATTTTGGAACCTCGTGCCCGATCCAAATGTTCTTAACGCACCTCTATACATAGAACGAGCTGACCAGCAGAGCGCCATGAGCGATCTTTCAGCGTTTCAACAAATTATTTCCAGTTGCATGCGAGGGGCCTGAACCAGCCGTGCGCGTGTGTGCGGGGAGGTCAGCTGTGGCATTGTAAATCACTTGTCGCTACCATTCCGAACAAACACGAGTTGGATGTCAATGGAAATGAACACTCTACAGTGATGAGAAATTGCTCGTGAAAGGCTTTCATATCAACAATTTCTAAAGTAACAAAGTTAATTTTTTTGTCGTGTCGTGTAAAGTAAAAATAAATAAAAATCCAGTTGTGCATGCACCAACTGCTGTTGAGAGTGGGTTGGTCAAGGGTTGTCTTAATACCTATCACCGTCCCTCCTCGGCCACTACTTTGTTGAAAAGTCAAGTCATCATATTGTGGAGAAGGGGGATTTACCGCTGCCATAGGAATGTGGAATTTTCATCACTGACTCAGGGCTACCAAAATAAAATAAGCACAGCCCCAAATAACTTTTTGCACTTAATGTAAAAAAAAAACATACCCTCTCATTGTTCACATTTTCACACATCAAGTACAAAGACAACGATCCCCCGTGTAGCCTCAACACAGTGTTGGGGCAAGTGCTATTAGCAGGCAGCACCTATGGAGGCCGGCGCAACACAGGAGGGCGTGACCACCTTTGTCTCTCCAGCGGCGATGTTTACACATCACGGCAGGTACTCGATTGAGACTGAGTCAACCGAGGGGAGGTCCAGGACCGGTTCAGATAATCGTCAGTGGCGTTGGCTGTGAGCGCAGTGGACTTATCCACTGCACCACGGCTCCAAAGACACAGTATAGACTGTGGCGACAGGCCCTATGAAGGCCGGAACGGTACGTGATGGGGGTCGTGTGACCTGAAACACACCTGGAACCCTCGATATCACTCGTGCTGATGTTGGCACACGACACAATTGCGCCCATTCAACGGATGAGTCGACCTAGAGGATGTCCCTCAACAGGTTCATATGCCACGAAGCACTGATATTATTCGTGGCTTGGAACAGGATTGCAGCTCAGCGTGGGCATGAACTCAGTGCGAAAAGGACACAGACCACCTACCACATGCAGCCCGCACAGGCTACAAGCGTCGCTCGCGCCTACGTGCACGCAGGTGCATCTATTCTCAATACAACCGTGTGAATTCCGAGCAGGCTTCGACTTTGAAAGCTCAACAGGCAAAAAAATGAATCTGTATTCGGCGGCGACGATATCGGAAGACGGTTTAGGCTCGAGCTCAGACTGCCCTGACTGTACATTCGGAAGCTACCGCACATTAATGAGTGCAGGTCGGCTCGCCAAAGCGCCAACTGCAAGCGAAGTGCCAGCAGTTCTGCTAAAGCAGGTGTCCGATGGCAGAATAACTGGATGGACCTCTTAACCCTGCACACAGCAACCATGCTCATATATGTTAATACATAATACACTTGGCTGTGGTAGCAGATGTCACACATTCGAAAATGTATGACTAACATCAATTACATGCGAAACCACATTTCAGGCCCTGGGAATTTGTTTGCTTCTGGCTAAGTGCCTAGACTTACTATGTTTATTCTTGATGGTTTTTTTTTTACTCAATGTTTTAACGGTTCAGTATTACACATTGCAATACATTTTTTTCTTTTCAATGTCACGTGCTACAGCAGCGTCATGCCACGTGACGGTGACTTCATTTGGAAATCTCGTCGGGCAGCGAAATCGGCCCGTGTTAGACAACAGTCCACAGAAGCAGATATCACAGAACAACTTCGGAAATCAATTCCAGTGACCTCGTATCTACACTTGAGGGCAGTGCTTCCGAACGAGCCGACACAGAGACAGCAAAGGTCCGTTGCGTGACGGTAAAAATAGATATTTGTAATTATCAGAGCCGGATTTCCCACCAAATAAAGCTTGAAGCCAAATTTAACGGGATGTTTTTTTGTGTGTGTGTGTGTGCGTTCCGTCGTTTGGTGACCAACACTGGGAACATCGACTCACTTCAATTGGTGCCATCACAGGCCCCTGTGCAAATTCAAACACAGCGTCTCAGCAGTGTCAGCTCACTGCTGCTCTGAGCCACTGAGCCAGTGAACCACCTGAGTATTCCACGTTTAATGTTGCAATTACTCGCAACAAAGGGTTTTTATTTGGGGGGTTAGATCGCGTTAACATAAATGTGTTGTGAACCCACCACCACCCGACACAGCCAATCGGTAAGGTTTGTCACGTAAACAAAGCGTGCTGATTGGTTACTAATTCATCAACACTGGTGTGTTGGAAGGTAAACCCACAACATTTATTTATGCGATCTAAGCTAAAAAAGAAAACTTTATTATGAATAACATCGGTCGTGAACGCCTACTACGTGTTAAACGTTACAATTACTATTCAGAGAGAAGTAGTTTTTTATCCTGTGTATAGGATAAAACACTGACCCTTTAAAAAAAAATTAAGGGACCATTGATATTCAATATTTCTCAGGCAAGTAAGCCCTGGATACATGTACAGTAGTTGAATAAGAAAGTGCAAGAAGCATTTAAAAATGTACATGTGGGTAACTTTTAATCCTTACGAGTAAGAATTGTTGTTTATGTTCGGACATCATGATGTATTCCCTCACGTTCCTCAAAAGATGCAGCGATTCAAAGGTAATGCCGAACACAGTTATTAATACATGAACACCCCATCCCCTGTGGTCTTTGCAAATGATTGACTCACAAGTGACGACATCACATTTATCAAATTAAAAGTTTAAGAACGAAACAGGAGGATTTCTCCACAATTCTGTCTGTCGCCTGATGAAGCCGGTTGTAATTACCGGCGAAACATCGTACTCGAATTGTAAATGTTGTGGGTTTACTCTACAACACAGCAGTGTACCGAATTAGTCACTAATTGGCATGTTTTGTTTACATGACAAACCTCACTAATTGCCTGTGGCGAGTGGTGGCGGGTTTAACAACACATTTATATTTATGCCATCTAACCCCAAAAAAACCTCTCATTATGGATATCGCTCGCGAAAGCCTACCACGTGTCAAACTGTATACTGCTACCTCTCGTATAGACGTATCAAGTAGAGCAAACGTTAAGACAAGGGGGCTTGGCCAGGACCCGTCATGACCTTGGCATGATGGCCGATTGGTCCATAATAATAACAGAGTGGCATCCAAGGAATGGAACGCGTCTGACATTAGATCCCTCAAAGAGATGGAGCAATGAAATGAACTCATGCGCAGGAAAAATATCGGTTATTGCACAAGCAGAATCGCAGAAGATGGTGGCGACTTGGGGAGGCTTTCATCCAGCAGTGGATTGACCATGACGGAAGATAATGACGATGATCTGATACAGAATGTCTTGAAAGGTGTCTTAGAGCATGCAATGGTCTACGTTTGCAGCTCTGGCTGGCATTGTGGTAAAATCACGAGGCTCGCAATCGGAAGTTTGTGAGTTCAAATGCTGGTCAGGGGTTGACTCATCCGAGGTCGATAAAGTAGGTACTACTTTGTTGGAAGGTTTTAGTGGCCATCCCATGAAGACGAGGAACTGTCACTGCTGGTTTATGGCCGCTCCACAACTCATTTGACCAGAGACACCACACTTTGACCTTTTATTCTGCTGAGCACGGTTCATCACTGCCGGAGAGTTCACTGCTGAGATTCGCATTATGTGCTGCGCGTCGGA